TAAAAAATGTTAAAAAAAAAACTCTGTAATAGTGTTATTTTCTTCATATTGACGTGTTTATTTGTGATGCCAAAAAGTCCACACTGAGTCCTAACACAGTATATGTTCTTCCCTTATAGATTTACACTCTGGACATCCACCGACCTGAGGATTGTTGGGAAAAATTCACCTCGAACCGAACAATAGGACTAATGCTCTTTTTAGGGATTGTCCTTGGGAATTTGTGGAAAGAAAAGGAGACAGATGAAACAAAGAAAAATATAGATAATAGAACAGAAAATTAGCAAATTAAGTTTATCCAGGGACTTTTGAAGCAGAGTTTTACAAAACACTCTCAGGTCCTGTTATCACATAATTAGATTTGAATGAGCAGTCTTATGTTAAAGAATTACAAACTAGAAGGTAAGACTTGGAGCATACTTGCCTAGATTTTAGGTTTGTACTAGTCACATTCTTCCCCTGTCACAGAAACTGGGGACTCTTTAGGACTTGAGATGACCTGGAGTACTTAAGTTAATGCATTCTTCTCATCATAATTCTCATCTGCAGTTTTGGGAATTATATGAGTTTTGGCACTTTACAAAAAACCTGGTGCATGTCTCATCTAAATGAATGTCTCTATAGGAAAATAGACTCTTTTTAGGGGAAAATAAAAGAAGGTTGGGGTTTATTGTTCTTTATTGTGACTTTTACTTACTGCCAAAAGCTGTAATTCAGAAAACCATTCTGTATTTTATATTTCAGGAGAATTTAAATAAATAAATGAGGATTTTTACCTACTGTCCCCAGACGTACTGCCGTCATTCCCAGCCCTGACATTGATTTGAGAGGCCTCTGTGTGCAGCCATAGGGACTCGATGAGCAGGCAGTCACCAGAGACTGTTTTAATTTGCTTGTTTATTTCTTTTATCTCATCTGGTTGTAATTTATAGGGTGGCGGCATGTTGGTTAGGCATACTAACTTTCTTCCCTTGCCCCCTTCAGAATATTCTCAGTATTTCTTAAGACCTCTCTCCTTATAGAGGTCATTCCTCTGCTCAGAGCCCTCCAGGATCTTCCCAGGTCACTCAGTAGAGACTAAAGTCTTGTCACCTGCTGCGCCCTGCACAATCTGGCCTTGCTGTAATTGCTCTTCTCATGGCCCTCTCCAGCCCTGGTGGCCTCCTCACTGCCACTCGGCAGTCCAGCTCAGCAGGCTGGACAGACCCCTACCCCAGAGCCTTTACAAGTGCAGTTGCCTTTATGCTGTCCTTGAATTATGTCTTAGTTCTTCACTGTAGGTCTTTTCCTAAATGTCACCTTCTCAAAGAGGCTTTTCTTAGCCATTGTTTCTAAAATTTCATACACAAATACTACCTACACTTTCTGTATTATTGGTGTTTTCTCTTCAGAACTTACCACTGTTAACCACCTAAAATATATTCTGCTTGATTTAAGTGGCCGTCATGACAGTGGGGTGTAGGGGAGACAGTCATCTTGTGTATGCAAGTTGTGGGCAGCAGTGATCACTAAATTTCTCAGTGATGATGATAATGATAATGATGGTGACAATGCAACTGACGTAGCACTTACATACTCAAGGCACTGATAAATTAGCTTAGGAAAGTGTATTTAACTCTTCATTCAGAAGATACCAAACCGCTGGGACTTAGGACAGTGGTAGCAGCTGTAATTATACTCTGCTATTGCAGTGAGTTGAAGGGGAGAAGAAATAGAAATATTATACCCTATTTTTAGGGAAATATGATTCATTACTATTTTATCTAATTCTGACACTATACCAGGACAGATAAAATTTAAATCTTTGTTGATTTCTGTTTTCTTACAAATATCATCCTATCCTCTCCTGCTTGGAAATTTAGCATAATTTACATAATTTTCCTAGAAAATACGGTAGTAATAAAATAGAGTGTTTAAACAGATGGGAGGATATTCTTCAACAATGAGTGAAGTGAGAACCAGGAGAAAAATTGAGCTTGGAAAAGAGTTAATGCCTTTAAAAATACACCATTTCTCACAGCAGAAAAATGTTGATCTCTGAATGCCTTTTTCCATGTGTGAGCTCTAGAAGAATGTTGGCCCAGGATAAGTGGCAGAGATGCAGAGCCAAGAGGAATCTGGTCAGCACAAAGAGGCCTGGTGTGGCAGCTCCTTTGTTTTACCCTGGAGGAAACCTTAAGGCAGAATCGCTTCTCCACTTGGGAAAAAGCTCCAGTGTCTAAAAGGCAGTGATTCTGTTGAGGGCTGGCTCCACAATTTGCCAAAAGCTACATAATTATTCAGGACTGGCTACATAATTTGCACATCACCCTGTATTTTAAAATGCTTAAAATAATTATTCCAAGCACTGGTTCCAGTTAGAAGAGGGTAAGTGCAGTGTTTTTCAAATATATTTCATTTTCCTAAATTAGTTGATGAAAGTTAATGTGGAACAAATCTTAGAATCAATCTGTGAAGCTCCTGCAGCCATTTGTGATAAATGGAGACTATAAGTAATATATATATAAATAAATATAAATATAATAATAAAGAAGAATATAAAAATTCAAGATTATCTTGCTCTCAAAAAGCAACTTAAAACTTAATTGAATTATTTTGGTTCCTTTTCATTTCTCCCCCTAGGTAGAAAGGCTGAAAAAATAATTTAAATGGGTAAGAGGGAAATGGGGGGAGAAATGAAATAGATCATTTGCCTCTAAAATCATGGACTTTAAACCATTCAGGGCTGGAAGTAAGTATAGCCATTACCTACCTTGTGTCAGGGTTGTTTATCTTCTGCATAACCATGATGGGTACTGTAACTTAAGTGAAATTACTAGTCTTGCCTTTGGGAATCCATTCAATGGGGAGGGCCCTTGCCCTAGTTTTCTACTGTAGAGTCACCGTAAGGTTCTAAAGAGAAAGCATGTGAAAGAACTTTGTAAACTGAACACTTAACCTAGTACAGGTTTATGATCGGGGTGGAGGTGAGGTGGGAGCTACAGGAAATCTGGCTTATAGAGGCTGAAATTTACATCACAGGTGCTACCTCTCCTGCTTCTGAACCTTTTCTCTGAATTGCTTTATGCCTCTTCCAGATTCCAGATTATACCTTCAGTTAAGCCCTACCATTTCCCCCAAATCAGCGTACATGCTTGCCCTTGGGCTGGTCTCTCCACTGTCAACAGGCCTTCTGCCATCACAGCTGTCCTGGCAGCTGTAGGATAGTGAGGGCCTGGCCTTTGGAGCAAACAGGCCTGTGTGTGAATCTCCGTCTAATTCTTGCCAGCCAGGAGACCTCAGACAAGTGATGGACCTCCCTCAGCCACCGCATTCTCATCTGCCAGACCTGAGTTGTGAACATTAAACAGAGTTGGCATATATTAAAGCCTGTTGTATTGCCCCGAAACTCACACAGTGAAGTGATTCAGAATGTAGCCGTGTTTGGTGATAAGGTCTTTAAAGAGGTAATTAAGTTAAAGTGAGGCCATTAGGGTGGGCCCTAAACCTTATGACTAGTGTCCTTTAAAGAAATCTGGACGCACAGAGAGACTTACACACGTGACTGTGGAGGCACAGGGGGAAGACGGCCATCTACAAGCCAAGGAGAGAGGCCTCAGAAGAAACCAAGCCCTCCAGCAGCTTGATCTCAGATTTCTGGCCTCCAGAACTGTGAGAAAGTGAATGTCTATTTTTTAACCACTCAGTTTGTGGGATTTCTTGTGGCAGCTCAAGCAAACTTAACACAAAGCTCTAGTCCTGAACTGCACAGAAAAGACACTCTACAAAAGCAGTTCACTGGAGAGCTCTCTTTCCCCTCCAAGCCTGCCTTTTTGTCTCAAAGCACAAGTTTTAGCCCTTCTAATGTCCATAACAGTGGTAGGCTGACTACAACCCTCCAGAGATATCCATGTCCTAATGCCAGAGCCAGCAGATACATTACCTTACGTGGTAAAGGAGCTTTGCAGATGTGATAGAGAAAGATCCTGAGATAGGGACATTATCCTGGTTTATCCAGGTGGGTGCAGTGTAATCACGAGCATCTTTACAAGAGGGAGACAAGAAGGTCAAAGTGAGTAGTAGATGTGAAGATGTAAACAAGAGGTTAGGGTGGGGCAAGGAAGGGCTCACAAGCCAAGGAATGCAGGTGGCCCACAGAAGCTGAAAAGGCAAGGACACAGATAATCCCCTCAGAGCCTGTGGAGGGAACCAGCCCTGCTGACATCTTGACTTTAGCCCAGTGAGACTGAGTCTGGACTTCTGACTTCGAGAACTATCAGATCATAAATTTGTGTTGTTTAAACCACTCAATTTGTGGTAATTTGTTATGTCATCAACAAGTAAACTAATACAACAACTATTCAAGGTTGATTGACCTATCCTCTGAACTGCCAGAGCTCTTGGTTGGTTCCAGTGGCACAATGGCTAAGAATGCGAGTCTGGGTGACAGCGCACCTGGATTTGAATCTCTCCTTTACCACCTGCCAGGTACTGAGCTCCCTGTGGTTCAGTTTCTCAAATGGAGCCGATAACATTACCCTTCTCAGGGATTTAAAAATCATCTCTTTTTGTCTACTAGAATGCAGATTCTGTGATAACTGGGACTTTGTCTCATTCACTAAAATAGCCCCAATACAGCACAACGTAGGCATTCAATAAATATTTGTAATTTATCGTACATCAGTGAGCTAACATTTGAGTACTTGCCAGACCCAGGGTTAGGTGCCACCATTAAAAATTATTAATGGTATTCAACAGCATATTTTAAAATTCACAATGTGAGGCACTATAATAAAAATAGATTTTCATGTACACCTGATTAAAACTATGTAAAAATATATATACATATAATGAAGACCAAAGAAACAAAAACAGATTTGTCATGGGTAATAGGTTAATATAATATTGCTTTACAATAACATTAGACAGGCACTGGTCCTAAGTGTCATGTTTTAAGCTAATCTATGAATGTAACCTTTAGCTCTTTCCATATTATTTTCACTTTTAAATATTTGCATTTAAAAAGTAAACATTAAGATAACCTATATAGAGCCCCTACAAAAACACAGGTTATTATTTTAATAAATTCTTTCCAAAATAAAGCATAGGATTGAGTTCTAAAAGGACTGTAACTGCAGCCTCAGACTTGCATGTCTTCCTTTAAGCAATAATTGAAGAAGAATTACAGTTCCGAGAAAGGAAGGAAACCCTAACAGCACCAAAGTGGAGACATCCCTTTGGCTGTGTAAAGCAAGCATATCCCCATGTCACTGTGCAGCCAGCGTAGTTTCTCAACCAGTGATGTCCGGAGGCCTCGTGATGTTGGGCAGTGACTGCCACCTCTTGCTCATTATGAGAGATAGATGGCTAGGAAGAGCAGTGCCACCTCGCTTGTCCTCAGGAATAATTGATAAGGAGCATGAAATTAAAAGTTGCCCGTAGCTTGCGTCTGTCTTTTTAAAATAATATTTACTACATTCTTTTTCTAATGTAAAATTAGCATATGTCCTTGTGGGAAGCATAGGAATATAGAAAAGCACAAAGGAAAAAATAAAATGCATTTTTAACATAGTCATTTACAGATACGTGCTGTGAGCAGACTGATAGGCTTCTAGACTTCTAATAGTCATATAAGCATATTTTTGATAAAATTGGAGCCACACTGTATTTCTTCAAAAATCTACCTCTCTCACTTAATATTTTCCCATGTCATTAAATCTTCCTTCAAAATAGGAGTGTTTATTGGTTGCATAGGTTTTTATCATTTTTTACTATTATTTAATTAATCTTATTATTGAATAC